ATATATAATCAAGCAAAAACAATTTATATTTCTTTTCTGAGGATCATATTTCTTCGTTCTTGATTCTTTTCCAGTTGAAGTAACTGATATTTTTTTCAGGGGAATCTTCTTTTTTAGCTTAAATATATTCTAGCTATGATATATTGATATTGCATTCGTAAACAAGAAATGTAGATCAAAGCTACCACAAATTATTATTAAGGAAACGGATGAACTTCTAGTCCCACAAATGATGAGGTCTGATTCTGTAAAAAGCTAGTAATGTAGAAGTAGAAATAGCAACAGTATGACCAAGATACTACTACTTGAATCGTACCTGCTCCAATCCCCCACTGCATCTCCTCCCCCGAGCCCTAGTCCTTCCCAAACTAACTGCAAACACCACAATTAGGGAAAATTACAAAAGATCCAACAAAGTTGGGATAATTCCAGCATTAGTTTAGTCATGCCACCGGTTAAGCATCGGAAATATCAGAATGCTAAGATACCACTGGAGCTATCAATATTAAAGTTGCATATATGCAGGCTTTAAAAATATATCAGATTTCCAAATGCAACAGGAAACGTGTAATTCCTAAAGAATATTCACCATCTTTAACCCACCTCCTCCATTGAGTTCCCAAAGGCCAACGACAACAGAAACAATACAAAACGAAAGTTGAAGAAAGTGGTTAATGTAAGGTACCATCATGAGGGATTCACAGAAGGTATATAACAACTATGGTATTTCAAAATAGAACTAAAAGTATTCCTTTGGTTCCTTTTTTGCAAGTAAAAGCCCAACATTGTAATGAATGCAGCACTAAAGTGTTCAACTGGCCTGGCAAAAGCCAATGCAATGAGTAAGCATAAGACAAAGGTTTGAGGGTTTGCTTGCAACAGAAACAGATGACACATAAATGAATATTGCTAAAGAGTTTGTGCAGCAAAAGGATACCCAACTAAGGCAATGGCTTGTGCAGCATCCTGCCTCTTCCAGTACTCCTCTGTACTGCCTACACGATAAACAAAATTTCAATTGAATAGAAAAGGAAATTGCTGTGGAGAGTGTTAGCCTGATTTTAATGATGACATACTTAACCAAAAACTACATAATCCATAATTTTAATAAGTTATTTCATCAACATGTTTTATCTTTGTGTGAATAATCAAGGAGTTGAGTATTTTTTTCATTAATAATTTATTATTGTAAATATGTTGACTATTTATAGTCGATAGTCGACCAATAGTATACTAACATGGAAAAGTATACAAATCACCATTTAGAAATGAAAGAAAATACATTGCAGAAGGTCAAACAAATTATGAAGACATGAAAGGTAAAAGAAAGTATACCGATCTCTACAAACATTGTGGGTGCATTAGTTACAGGACCATGATGTGTAGCTTCCAATGTGACCTACACCAGAAATAGACATAGAAAGGTACCCATTACAGACAGATGATTACGTAACAAAGTAGATTAAATTAGAAAAAATCTAAAGGATTGCACTTGTTACTGAATTGGAAATCCATGCAGCATGGGAAGATCAATCTTAAGCTCAGATCCAGCATCAATTCATAATAGTTAAAAGCAGTGTTATTGATCAGCAATCTAATAAAAAAACTGAATACATTGATAATTTCTGTTCAATTTATAAAATGTCATGTTTTTTCAAGTTGGTCCATTTGTCATACTGTAATTTCAACGGTAATAGTTAGTAGTCTTTAAGGCAATTCTTCCTTATTTTATAACCAAGCCCGGAGGTCCAGTGATGTATAAGACAATCCTTTCTCATGATTGATTACTTCACAAATAACTTTAGTTTTATACCATCAATATTGAAGATGTTCCTTTGGCTATAATCATTTATTTCTTGCCACTGGTTTCTCTGCCCCATTTTTATTATCTCATTTTTTTACGAAGTGATTCAGTTAACATTTCTAATAATTAATCCAAAGATATTGTGTCCACCAATTCTAATTTGCAAGAGTATGAAATGTATTGTGTAATGTCATATAGCAAAGGAACGTAGAATCTAATTTAGAATGGTCAATGACTACTACTCAAAAAGGGGAAAATGTAATTTTACTAAAGCAAGCATAAATGTTTTCAGCCTTACTAATGTGGCAGTCCTATAGAAAGCAGAATGGTGAAGACTGAAGATTGATTTAGAGTTATCTTAAGTCAGCATTGCAAAAGCCAGTCCATGACAAAATTATTCGGTAGTTAACAAAGGCAGAGAAGCAGTTCAACTAGGTTCACCTTACCACTCAAACATTCCATATAAAAGCAGTTTTTCAGTAGAATGACAGCCAACTCTTGACTACTGAGAATTAAACTAGAAACAGTCTACGCTTCAAAGGAGACGGTAACAACCATAAAAAACCAAGATATACATGTTCACATGAAATTTAGTTAGAAGTGCAACGAAGCAAATGGATCTCCAGTACAAACTCCAACACTGAGTCAAAACCAAGTTAAATATTTTTTTCTGAATCGAGCATTCACTCTGCAATAACTAGTCAACCTAACAGAAAGACGTCAATGTTAATAAGAATGCCAAAGTGAAAAGTCACTTAAACAGGAATGTTACCTCGAATTCAGGAGTTAGATTCTGTGAGTCAGCAATAGATTTCAATAGTCTAAACCACGGTCCTATACGTGGATTCGGTGGTGCAGCCCAGGCAGGCTTCCCACCTACCGGCAGCTGGTCCCCCTCTGTTAGGTGAGGCACACCTAATGTTTTCCATCCCAACACAAGTAACAGGAAATGAACACTCCACATATACAAAGAAAATAAACCATATACACCAGAAACCATTTTCTACCTATGGGGTGAACTGTAAGTGCAGGACGATTAGATGCAGCAGTGTGCTTGCTAAGAAAGATAACCTCATCAACCGTCTCGCCTGTGGTCTCTTCCCAACGCATGTCCAGGTGGTCCTCTCTCACAATGCTGCTATCATGTTTCAATAGCCTTACATCTCGATTCACAAAACTTGGCACATCCTAAGCTTATGCACAAAACCAAACAAAATAACAGCTTTATTAGTTCAAGCATGTCTTAAAGCTCACATCTCACTTCATCTTGTTCCTTGCGCTGCAATAATAGTTATAAATTTACAATACACTTGAATCATCAAAGTATGATATACGGGCTTGAATTTCTATAGGGGACTATAGGGAAGTCGATTTATAATGCACCCCTTTACTCCTTTTTTTTTATAACCATGGTGTCTGGGCCAGCTTGCACGCACCGTGACTAATTACACGAGGTGCCTGCTACCTCCCACCAACATTAGGTATCAAGTAACTCTATCCACCAAAGCTTCTACGTATGAAAAAAAATAATCAAATAGTGCTTTTTGCCTTGAGATGAGCATTTTTCCCTCATCCCTTTTAGTTTGGGGACAAGTGTAATAAAAGGATCCTACATCGCCCAACTTATGCGCAAACTTGAACTCTAAAGCCTCGGCGAGTCAAATCACACCCCAACTTTCAAGCAAACTCCATTGTTGAATCTCCTATTTGAGCACGAGACTACATGCTTCTCAACCCACTTCACTGACCACTAGGTCCTTGTGTGCTAATTCAGCCCTTTACTCCTCCTTTCCTATTTGCAATTCTCAAGGTATTATGACAGTCTGTAGAATTCATATAGCTACCCCAATTAGTCTAGTTGATTAATTGATACATATTAAAAGGGACTAACTTGAAGAAATTGGAAATTAAGAAAATGATAAGAGAAGAGATTGAAATTTTTACCTGAATGGGAGGACCAGGGTGCCAGCCAGGCATGGCTAGAAGGGCAGATGCAGGGCCAATGGAAGCAGGGTCTATGGTGGTAGCCACTATTAATGTCACCATTTCTCTGCCACACCTAAGCAAATCTTGATGAAAAATGTTGCTGAAGCAATGTTTTGTTGATGATATTGTTCTATGAAATAAAAGCCCAATCTTGATCATTCTATGACTGGTGGATAAGCAACACTCATCTTCCCTTTTCACTGCAAAAATGTAATTTTGTGGACTATTTGGAGGATTATAGGATGTTTGAACTTATTAGGGACTTTTGGTTCAAGGGATTAGGTATTAGGTGGGCTATTTCACTATATGAATTTTGAAATTTAATTAGAGATATTAGTACTGTTTCATATCAAAATTGTTGTATTAACTTATATATCTTCATATATATATATATATATTAAGTGGATTGAATATTCATGTTATTATTTGGTTACATAATTTTAGGATTAAAATTTGAGTTGTTGAAATGTATGACCATCTCATTTATTCTATATACGGGTCTAATTCATTTTATGGGTTAAGCACGTGGAATTCGATCTTAGAACATTTAAATATAATGTTGAAGTGTGTGACCATCTCATTTAAATATTTAAACAGTTAAAGATTAAATATTTTTATTATTTAATTATATTTTCGACATTTATTATTATTACAATAACAAGTTAACAACCCAAGTAAACAACCCACACTGTATTTTATGTAAATAGAATAGAGTTTAAGAAGAGTAAGATGTTTCTAAACCTTATTTCTACCTTTGTTCTCTGTTTTTCTATTAATCTTGAAATTATTATTACATTAACAACATATACTATATATTTTAACGCAAGTAAAATTTGATAAGAAGTGTAATATATTATGTAAATCCAGCTCTGCAAAACAAAAAACTATGTATAGAATATGTTATCCTCTTAACATTATTGGAGAAAGAACCTTAGCGTTTGTTTAGAGAAAATACATTTGTTTAATCCTCAAAAAGGGGAAAACGTTAGCCGACAGATCATCCTCGCAACCGTTTCAAAAACCAGGGCTAGTCAACTAGTACTAATAGTTTATACTATTATAAAGAGTTTTTTTTTAATATAATGTTTTTATCAAAAATATTTTTTAAACGAAATCATAAAAATATTTTTGAACTAAATTATTAACAGGAGTGTTGCCCTTTTTGGTACTCCACTACATATGACACGTAGAGCAAAAAAATAATGTTTGGTGTTACTTATTTTCTCTCTTAAAACCCATAACCAAAACAAGAGGGGAAATAATAATAATATTGGTGAGTGTATGGGTTGGGCTATCGCATTGCACGGTGACATTCCCCGTGAACTCAGAGAATCCTGCCTCCATCGTTGCTTGGGCATTGCCATTGACGCTCTTAATTCCCACAAATCACCTTTAGACGTTGTTGAACTTGTATTGCTCTTTTCTTTTGTTTTAGTTGAGTATTTGTAGATTCCCATCCTTTGTTTATATTATTTGTTCTTCCTTGATTTGAACATGTTGAACTAGTTTGTAAATCCTGAATTCGTACTTGTAATCACGGCGGTCTAAGAGCGTAGATCAGAAGCTTCTAGTTTTTATACACTATTGGTAAAGATTAGTGTGATATAAGAGGATCTAACAGGTGCGGGAACTGGAAAATGACCCACACTTCAATGCTGGTAAAGGTTCGGTCTTGACCAACAATGGCACAGTGGAAATGGAAGCTTGCATCATGGATGGAAGTACAAAGAACTGTGGAGCTGTTTCTGGCCTCACTACAGTTGTTAATGCTGTATCTCTAGCTAGGCTAGTCATGGAGAGAACTCCACATATATATCTTGCGTTTGAGGGAGCCGAAGCATTTGCTAGGGAGCAGGTTTGTGAAAATAATGTACATCAGTTTGGTCTCTTTTCAGAGATACAAAATATTGCCTTTGCCTAGTAACTTGGCTGAAGTTGCTAATTGTGGCGATTTTGTTATCTAGGGGGTTGAAACTGTAGACTCGAGCCATTTTATCACTCCGCAAAATATTGAGAGATTGAAACAAGCAAAAGCAGCTAACAGTGTTCAGGTATGCTGCACAATCTCTCACTTCCATCCTCATTGCTGGAATGTTCGCGTGTTCATGTTTGATTAGACCATGAATTGGATTTGGATTCGACATTGAATTAATGAACTGCTGCTTTCTTTTGATTGGGATTGTTTAATGCTTCATAGTATGATGTCAATCAAAAGTTGTTCAAACTTTGCCTCAGTATCCTTGTTTGTGACTTTAGTCTATCTCTATATGTCTCGTCTCGTTTTGTGTTAACATTGAATGATTCTCAGCCTCAGAGTTAATGTCAAACATGTATGCAATCAACTTTACAGGTAGATTATACACAGCCTATATCAATAGTTGATGAACCACCAGTTCCCAATGGGGATAGCCAAATTGGGACGGTGGGATGTGTAGCTGTTGACAGTTCTGGAAATTTAGCGGCTGCTACGTCTACTGGAGGACTAGTAAACAAGATGGTTGGTAGAATAGGAGATACTCCCCTTGTTGGTGCAGGAACATATGCAAATAAATTCTGTGCAGTGTCTTGTACAGGCAAAGGCGAAGAAATTATCCGCGCAACTGTAGCAAGAGATGTGGCTGCTCTAATGGAATACAAAGGACTAACTCTGAAGGAAGCAACAGATTATGTTATAAAAGAATCTACACCAAAAGGGACTACTGGCTTGATTGCTGTGTCTGCCACAGGGGAAGTCGTCACACCATTTAACACAACCGGCATGTTTAGAGCTTGTGCTACTCAAGATGGAAAAACACAAATAGGAATTTGGTAACTTTGAGGTAAGGAGTTTGTGTGTTTCCTCAAACTTGAGACATTTCGAATACGTTACTTCATATTTGCTTAGATTTTATTTCAATAGTTTATGCTTTCCTTGTTTTTTTGATATAAAAGGTCAACTTTTCCGAACATCCAAGGACTAGATCCGTTTAGGTGTATATATCAAGGACCAAAATAAATCAACATTAATAGATTAAGGAACATTTTGATCATTTTCTCGATAAAGACATAAAGAGTAAAATATAAAAGACAGCTTTAAACAGCAAGAGTCAGTTTGATTAGTAGGTATACAATCTGCAAGATCAGACCTTGAAAGAGTAGAAGTGGGTACAACTTGTTGGCCGGCAGTAGATATTATTATTAATATTACTCCATTATTTATTCGCAATTATTGTAACCAAGAAATAGAATTGATGAAATCAAGATATCATAGACTGGTAGAAAGATAAATAATCTCTAAAAGAATATAGTTTCTTTTATCTTAATCATGTCAGAGGATTCAAAGAAGCTCCCTGATGAACTTCCTAATGAATCATCACCAGCCCCATTACCCATTCTTGGTTAGCTTCTCTACTCATTCTCCTTCTAAAATTTGTATATAATTCTTCTATATTGTTCCGTCTCAATATGTTGTCAGATCCTTCAAAAGTAGTGCATTTTGAAAGATGTTATAACATTTTTGGAGAGTCTGATCAACATAGATATTATGTGTATGTCCAATAACTCAGTACTATTGAACGGATTGTTTTCGACTTGAACTATAGTCTATACATACTTGTACCAATAAACATTCAATGTAAGATGTGTAATTATATAAGATATTACTGTTCTGTTTGAACTCACTGATTCTAGATCTTGGATTCATCTGTGATTTGTAGTATTATATTGCAATAATGAAAGAAAGTTTTGGAACAGATTGGAGTAGCCCACCAGGTGGGAAAATGTCATGGCCAGAATTACTAGGAGTGACAGCAGAGGAAGCAGAGAGGAAGATAAAGGAGGAGAAACCAGAGCTGAAGATACATATAATTCCACCTAATTCAATGGTGACTATGGATTATCGTTTAGACCGGGTTCGTCTCTTTGTAGATGAATCTGGAAAAGTTGCTCAAGAGCCTAGACTTGGCTAAATCATATATTTCCTTGTAAAACATTGAGAATCAAGGATGTCTCCTTTGCTTTTCTATGTAAATTAATGGTGTATTACTATGTATAATGTGTATGTTTATGTCTATCTAATCTGGTTTCACCATGGATTATGAATAAAGATTGGCAGATGAACTATCATGTCCATCCATAGGTTCTTGTTTATAAAGTAAAAAAGCTTCTTTATGTAATATGTGGATATGGTGATGTGGGCTGTTAGACATCAAGATTCGTGATGTTCATATCAACTTACACGTGCGTAGCTTATATCAGGATAACCATTAAGACTTAGACATATCAATATAACTATTAAGACATAGACAAATGAAAAGAAATCGCTTACCTCAACAATTATTGTTTCAGTCTGCATTAGCTGGTATTTTATAAGTAGCATGTGGTCTCTATTCTCTTGCATACAGAGTATTTTGTACTACTAATAATAATTTGAAAGGAAACAACCAAACTCTTTTAATAAAATGGATACTTTGGTTAGTGGTTGCACAAGTTGACAAGTGGGTATAACTTATAAGGGATTCAACTTCCTGGCTGCATATTGACACGGGTTTAGATCAATGCTCAAACTCTTTAAAAATATTGTCGGATTTTTAAGTAAAATATTATTTTAAAAAATATTTTTGAAGAGTCGTAACAACACTAATACATTTAGACAACACACATCAAATATTTGAATAAGAAATTTATCCTACAGTTTAAATTAAACATATAATAAATTTTGTTTTAGAAATTAATTTCAAAATTATTTATCTCTTAATCCTCGTTTCAAACTCGTCCTTAAAAAGAAAAGAAAAAAAAAAAGGAAAACCATAAAAGAAGGATTTTCTTTAAAATAAAATAAAATAGGATAAAGACGAGGGAGAAGTTTATGGGATTGTGCAATTCGACGCCAAAATAATGTGAAACGCACAAAACAACACGGCTCTCTTGTAATAATGTATGTAAGACATTCAAAAAATCGAGAAATTGGTGAGCATCCTTCTCTTTCACCTGCCGCCACCGCCTGGTGGTTGGTGACCTCTTCTTCTCCTTCATTGGCTCATCAGGTAACTTTTTTTTGTTTTTTATTTTGGCTGATATCTCTCCCTAAATCCCGAATTCAAGAAAATTGTTGTAATTTGGGGATAATGGAGGCTTAAATCGAATCATTCAAGAAACCCAACAACGTTATTGTTTGCAAGTTTAAATCTTGATCAATGTACAACCTCTTATATGAAATTTACTGTGGCGCTAATAGTTGAAACGGGAAAAAATGTCAGCTTTTAGGAACAACAATAATAGCTACGTCTCAATTTCAAATATGTTGGGGTTTTGGGAATGATTGTAAATAGGAAAACATGTTTTGTATTATTGGTAGGTAATATTGGGAACTTAGATATTAGATTGAGGACGGGTCGTGTTGAAGCATGGTTTGGATGATAAACTTCACCTTCTATCATGGGGTCAGTTATACATAAGTTTATCTGGCCAAGCTTTTGCGAAGCCAAAAGTACTTATTTTTGTAAGAAAATATGCTTATTTTAGAAAGTTGAGTTGTTTGGCCAAGATTTTAGGTGAAGTGTTTTTGAGTTTTGAGTAATAGCATAAGTTGTTCTTTTAGAAGCCAAAAAAGTAGCTTATTCCCCTAAGCACTTTGGAACCTTGGCCAAACAAAATTTGATTAGCCAAACATAAGCTGCTCTCTCAAAAAGTGCTCTTTTTTCTAAAATCACTTTCAAAATAAACAGACTTTTGAAGCTTGGTCAAACAAGCTATATGTCTTCTTGTCTTCTGTATTCATTCTGCTTTTTCAGTTGATAAATTTAGTGGTCTATAAAATTAGAGATTCTCTAAATGTGATGTTGTGAAAAATGTAATTTAAAATGTTAATCAAGTTTTACTTTTCCAGATGAAAAGAAAGAATCTTCACTTGTTGTATGTAGTTGCTTGCATGATGTTTGTGGTCATAGATTGGGATCATGAAGCTATCACCCATTAGGAAAGTAGACACAAGAGGCTTTATTTGGTGAGGTCTACTTTGTAGACATTGTTAGAATAGGAATAAGAACAAGAATAATATATACAATTCTACTTAAAATAGGAATAGGAATATGAATTGAAATAGTATCTAGAATCCTACTTGAATAATAATATTTTTCTCCTATATTTCTCATAGACATATTTATGCCCCTCGGGTTGCTTTTGCAGGATTAAGGAGGGGGAACTTGGGGCCTAAAATGGAAACAAGATCAGAAAAATTTTCTGTTGATTTTCTGATCGGAGGAACAGCAGGCATTTTCGCAAAAAGTGCTGCCGCACCAATTGAGCGAGTAAAGCTTTTGTTGCAGAATCAAGGAGAATTAATGAAGAGGGGTCAACTTAAGAGACCATATGTGGGAATTGGTGATTGCTTTCAAAGAGTTTTGCGAGACGAGGGTTTTATGTCATTGTGGAGGGGAAACCAGGCCAATGTTATAAGATATTTCCCAACTCAGGTGGCTATTCCTCCTCATCTCCTTGTGATGTTTGGGACCTCTATCTCTATATTACTTGACTTTCTATATCAGTTATTAGCACACTGAGCAGTTAACCTTCATGTTTCACTTCCCCCTGAAATACCACCTAAAATTAGATTGATGAAGCCCAACTTATTGATTAAAAATGTAAGATGTAAATAATGTAATGCTTCAGGGAGTTGGCGTCTCCCTTGGTTTGTCAGACTAGTCAGCGTTCTACTATTCCCCCTGATATCCGCTAAGGTTTTATACATAGTTTTGGTTGGTTCAGCTTAACTTGGAGATAAGCTCAATCACTCTTCTTTGGCAATCATTTTCCTTATCCACTATAATTATCATAATCTTTTGCCTTGGACTAGGACATTTCGTGATGGCTACTCTAGTAAGTCATCCTTTATGTACTTCTTGATTGTATTCACAGTGTTTTCTGAATGATTCAGGCCCCTTCTAGGTCCCCTGAAACAAGGTCTTTCTTAGTTACCATGTCAACTTTAGTGAAAAACCTGCAGCTTCTTAGTTAATGCTCTTATGTACATGTGACCTATAAGATAACCAAATCTAACATTGTCTGCTTCAAAATGTGCCAAAGCGGCAATTTTACAAAGTAACCAATAGACCCACCCAACACTCACTTCATGCTAAATGTTTTGAGAGAAGTTCCATTTACGAAACCTGAGGGGTCATGCTAAGTGTTTTGAGAGATAACGAATAAATGTAGGAGAGTGTCACTATTTTTCATTAGCTCGTGTTTAGCTGCTTGTATGTATTTACTCGAGGAACTATTCATTAGCTCATGTTGTGTCACTAATATCAAAGTGAGAAACATAGATATTAGTATGAATCTAAGGTGAAAGGAGAACGCCAATATGCACAGGATGTGACTAGGCGAATGCCCACTTATTGGGGGGTTGGGTCATGAAACGCTTACTCACATGCTTGTTCTGGACATTTAGAGCATGCCTTGTATTATTGTAGGTTTGAGCCTGGAGTCTGCCATTTAAATATTGGTTTCTTTTGTTCATTCAAAGTTGGCACCATTCTGGGCAACCCTCCTTAGACTCTACTCATCAGTTCGTCAATTGGATGTACCCAATATGACTAGATCCAATATGATCTTCCCATAGCTTAGTCTGAATGGAAAATTACTGTTTACTGTTGCGTCAGATCACAGATGTACTGTAGAAGAGTATGCTATGTGTATTTCCTATTTAGATTTCTGCCTAGCAGATTGCTCGCACACTTTCTTTTCAAGAAAGTAGTAATCTGTGATCTTTGCTGTATTATTTTGCTGGGATGTGTTCGGTCAAGCTACATTCATCTCATGTACTTGGGGGTGATATTACCGAGTTTTGGTTGAACATGGGCTGTTAATGCTGAAAGATACTGTATATGTGATGCACTCAATCTATAATAAAGTCCTCTTGCATCACTTAAATAGTGTCTTGCATTCCTTTTTCCTTTTGTTTCCTCTGTCATGCTTTGCATCCGCAAAAAGATTGTCCTCTTCACAATTGCATATAGTGCAAGAATGAATTATAGTATCAAATAATTGATGGAAATGTTTATGTACTTAAATCTTAATATTGTGAATTATATTTTCATATTCATTTTATCAGTAAATTCTCATAGATATTATTTTCAATTGTTCAACTAATATAATATTTGATGAGCTTACACAATTGTTTCTTTCACAGGCTTCCAACTTTGCTTTCAAAGGTTACTACAAGAACCTCTTTGGATATTCAAAAGACAGAGATGGATATGTCAAGTGGTTTGCAGGGAATGTGGCTTCCGGTAGTGCTGCTGGAGCAACTACATCCATGCTCCTTTATCACTTGGACTATGCAAGGACTCGGATGGCGATGGATGCTCAGTATTGTCCACTTAATGGTAAACGTCAGTTTAAGGGGCTAATAGATGTTTATGGTAAGACATTGTCAAGTGATGGAATTGTTGGCCTCTATCGGGGTTTTGGGGCCTCAATCATGGGAATAACCCTGTACCGAGGCATGTACTTTGGGATCTATGACTCCATGAAGCCAATTGTTTTAGTTGGACCCTTACAGGTAAATTAGATTGCTAGATTGGCACTTTTCTGGTTGAAATTTTTCTCTTTGTTATTGCACCATTTCCTTCTTGTCAATATAGTTGACCCAACATAATAAAACTATAAACAGCTTGTGCCCATACATAAAATTTATGGGGTATTTGTGGGGGAAGGGATGGAAATTTGTTATGTTGCTGATCTTCTTTAACAAGGAACATGCATATGACCAGTTAAAGTACGGCAGCAGAAACTAATTTCAACATTCGTTTGTGTACACAGGACAATTTTCCTGCCAGTT